CTCTCTCTCTCTCTCTCTCTCTCTCTCAAAAATAAATAAACTTGAAGAGTCCTGTTGATTATGCCTTTCTCTCAAGGTCTTGCTGTCTGGGGTTTCTGGGTGGTGGGGAAAGGCAACCTCAGCCGTGGAGGTGATGAGGGGGCCTAGAAAGGAAGTCTGCTTGGGGAGAGTGTGCATGATGATGGGCTGGGGCCCATGGCCCTAAAAGTGGCCAGATCTGATAGCTGGTTAAGTTGCCCTGGTGCGTGATTCCTTCCAGGATACTCTAGGGTTTAGGAAAGTCTTGGAAAAGGTTTAACTCTTGATTGACCCCATTTGATCACAAGTACATGAGTGAAACAGGCAGCCTGCCTGGCTGACATTCCCCTGTGCCACACTGATTGGGAAAGGGTATTTCCCAAAAGGAAGTGATAGGAAAACAGAAGGAAGTTCCTCGCTCCATTCAGTACAAGACCCACCAAGTACCCTTCCCTGTATGGGGTTGCCTGATGGTCAGACATCCACCTTAGGGGGGACCGTGTCCTCAGTTATGTCTTGAGGAACTAAAATACAGATGCCCAGTATGGGTCACAGCAATGAAGGGGACTAGCATGCTGGTGGCATTGATTGTGAAAGTCCCCAGGGAAGTCGTGAGTTGCTAAACAGGAGTTGGGCTGAGAGTCTGAACTCCACTCTCCGCATCAGAGAGTTTTTCGCACCACCACCTATGGGCAAACAGGGGTGTGTTTTATTTAGTGGGTGAGGAGGTTTGTTGTGCACGGCGGGGGACACACCTTCCTCGGAGTCACGTCCACCCCTTCTATGGCAGGTGCAAAGGTGTATACCCCACATGGCACGTACAAGTCCTGGAATTCACACAGGACAGGACTGTCCTTGAGAGGGCAGAGGTCGTGAGAAGAAGTGTGGCCTATGTGCCTGTAGAAACTGCACAGACGTAGATGCGTGAGCGAGCACGTGTGCAATATCTCTCTTCTCTCACGGATGACAGGCCCACACATGCGGACGTGCTCCCCTAGGTTTACACCGCAGCTAGGGAAGGCGCAAACCATTCACAAGACAGAGCACCTGAACAGCAGGCCTGAGAAGCAGATGCCGCCTCGCCTCCTGTCCCATCCCTGCAGGAAATGGCCACAAGGTCCTAGGAACCAGCTCAGCTGACAAGACTGAGTGACAGTGGTCAGTTCATCGCACCTCGCTTGGTGGCCCCAAGCTCCTCACTCCCACCACATGGCCCGTTTGCTTTACCCACGCCACTCGGCCTGGCTGAGGCCCCAGCATCCTGGCCGGGGCATCCACGGGCGACCTCACCAGACTCTCTCCCTGCCCGTCTCATTTCTACCTCTGCAGTTGGACCACCTCACTGCTGCTGTAATGATTCCTCAGATATTTTTAAATAAATGTAGTCTTCTTTTGCCATTATTTTGGTGTCTTCAAACTTCTGTTGTACAACAACAACAAACCCCAACCAAAGCAATAAAAAACACTCAAACCTGAAAAACCAGCGCCTTAACCTTACATAAAGGTGGTGAGCGTGACTGTCTCTGTTCTATAGAGAGGGAATTCCCACAGGGACCATGGGTGTCTGAGGCTCTCCACGCAGCTTGGGGCAGATCCTGGCAGATAAGGGGACCAGGTCTCTTGAGAGGGGGAGATGGTCTGGGAAGGAACTTTTGCCACTCACTCACTGCCTCAACAAGCACACAAATCAGATATTATTACACTTGGGGTTGCTTGGCCTGGCTGGGGGGGGGGTGGGGGGTGGGGTGAGACATGAGGACAGTGGTGTGAGCCGAGCCCAGGTCAGCACCTGCTCTTGCTGGGGGAGCAGAGACCCTGGACGATCTGTTGGGCTGAGGGGGAGTTTGTGCGGACTGAGGACTAGGCTCCTGGCGCAATGCGTGTGAAGCCATCTGGACCCACAAGGCAGATGGGGAGGCTCCCTGGGGAAGTGATGGCATTTTAGGCTGGGGAAATCCTGGTAAAGAGGTGAGTGTGTGTGTTAACCTGGGGGGGGGGGAGGCACAGGGAGAGGGAGAGGAAGGACAAGCCAAGGCCTGTATGTGAAGGGAGGTAACACTGGGAATCAAAAGGCCACTATTGGCCAGATGGGGGAGTTGGGAGGCAAGGACAGATGAGGTGGAAAATAGATTGGGGAGCCAGGCACTTACAGAGGCAAGCCCTTATTGGTTAGAGAGGCCACCCCCTGCCTCATCCAATGACAAAGAAGAGGGCTGATGGTGGTATTACAACACACCTGGGGGGTGGTGGGAGAGGTGAAGAGAAACAGGACTGGGAGGGTGACAGCAATACAACTTGGTAATGAACTGGCTGGACCTGGGGGCCTGGGCCAGACCCAGGGGGTGCACCTGGGTGGGTGGTGGGCAGAGTCTGAAACCAGGGATCTAGGAACAGGTGGGTGGAGGGATGTCGTGGCATGTTTTGGACATGCTGAACTCCAAACGCCTTTACAATCTCCATGTGGAGATATTTTGAGGATCATTGGATAAATGTGTCTGGAGCCCAGAGAGAGGGTTAGCTGGAGACAGAAATTTAGGAGGGTTCTGTGCAGAGGTGGCAGGCGAGGCTGGGAGTGTGGGTGACGTCGCCCAGCAGAGAGAGGAGGTCTGGGACCAGCTGAGGGAAACCCCTGGGGTGGAGGAGCCTGCAGAGGGGATGGGGAGGAACAGAGGAGCGGCAGAAGAGAAACCCAGAGAGTGTGATGGCACAGAAGCGACTGGAAGTGCCTGTTCAAGAAGGGAAGGTGGTCTACAGGGCCGGATGTTTCTGAGAGACCAGATGAGATGAGAACTCAGCAAAGCCCTTGGGATTTCATGGCCTGGGATAACCGATGGCTCGTCTGGGTGGAACGGAGGGGTGGGAGCCACTCTGGAGGGGTGGAGGAGTAAGTGGGAGTGAGAAAGTTGGGCAGCACAGGTGCAGAGGGAGACAGGCAGTGTGGGCCGTGGCAGGGAGAGCCCAAGATCGTCTCTGACACCATCTGGAACTCTCCAGCTCTGTGCCACGACTGTGTAGTGCCTTCCTTGCCGCTTTTTGAGTTCATGCACTTACCACCAATACGTGCATCTGTCTGGGTGTCTCTCACCCAGACAGAAAGTCCCATGAAGCAGGACTTGGTCCATTGAGTTCACTGCCCAGGTCCCAGACCAGCGGTGGCCCACAGCAGGTGTGCCACGGCAGCCAGCTAAGTGAATGAACAGGCTCGAGTGGAGCCCTGGCATCCGACAGGCAAGAGAAGGAAGACTGGGCTCCATTGAGCAGAGTTGGGAGGCGGGAGGTTGAGGGAGTCCCTGCCTGATGTCTGGACTCTCCTCTATGAAGTGGGAGGTGAGTCCTTGGCTCAGGGGTGGGGCTGGGGCAGGACCAGGACTGTGACGAGGGTTGGAGATTTGAGAAAAGCAGGAAATTTAGTTTTAGAAATTCCTTTAAGGGGGCATCTGGGTGGCTCAGTCGGTTAAGGGTCGGACTCTTGATTTCGGCTCAGGTCATGATTTCACGGTCGTGAGATCGAGCCCCAAGTCAGGATCTGTGCTGAGTGTGGAGCCTGCTTAAGATTCTCTCTCCCTCTCTCTCTCCCCCTCCCCCGCTTGCACACTGTCTCTCATCCTCTAAAATAAATAAATAAATAAATAAATAAATAAATAAATACATACATACATCCCTTTAAAATACTGGAATTAACTAACTCTTATTTGGCATCCTAGGAGTTAGGAATGGTTAATATCCCCGTCTTTCTGATGGGGAAACTGAGGCTTGGCAAGGCTGAAGAGTGTGTCCCAGGTCACACTGCTAGGTTGGGTGCGGCTGGTTGCAAAGCCCCTGATCATGAGCGGGCTCCTTCCTGCACGTGGCAGAGCCAGGAACCCGCTGGGCCCAGGCCCACCCCAGCGCTCACCTTGTCCTTGTGTTCCATCTCCAGGGAAATATCCGAGGGAGATGTCTTCTCGCTCTGCTCCCCATAGATCAGTGAAGTCAAGCTGCCGGCCAGGAAGATCAGTGAGCAGGGAGGCGGAGAAGGAGAGAAAAGGCCTCGGCCACCCGCCTTGCTGTCTCTCCAGCTCCCAAGCCAAGAGCCGCCACCCCCTCTTATACAGTACCAGACACATCTCAGCTCGTGTGCTGAGCACACAGCTCTGGGTACAGATGGTAATCACCCCTGTTGCCAGGTGCCCAACGTATCTGGGGAGTCACGCGATCCAGAAAGTCTGAGATCTGAGAAAAAAGCGGGCTTGTGCCCAGAGATGACTGCCCCCACTAAGTTCCCTTCTTTTGAGGAGGGCCAGAGCCGGGCAGGAGTGGGTGACAGCACGACACCTACTGTATCCTGGTTGTGGCCTTACCTCCCCCAAGGGAGCAAGCAGCTGGCTCGCCCTGACCCCCGGCCTCTCCTCACCTGTCATTGTGAATGAGCAGAGCCAGGCGCCCGTAGTCCCACGCAGCTTTCCGGAGGAAGGAATAAACCAAAATGATGACCTATAGGCCGGGAAAGGGAATGTGGGAATATGTCTCCTGCTCGGCTGGTCCCTGCAACTCCGTGGGGGAGATCCTGTCCCTCAGGTTCCCAGGGGCTTCCTGGGCTCTCCAACAAGTGGCCAGCTTTGTTAGGGTAGAGGCCATGCCTGTCTAAACTCTGGATCCCCAGTGCCCAGCAGCTTCCCAGCAGAGTGGATTCTCAGAGTTTGCAGAGTGAAGGCATCGGTGTCATGTTTAGAACGATGCAACAAGAACATTCCTTGAAGAAATCAGCAAGAGGAAAGAGAAGGGAGGCCCGAGGGCACTGGCCGGGTAGGTCCCTGGACAGTGGTGCATGGAAGGGAATCTTAGGAATTCTGCCTGTTCCTGCAGTTCCCTCTTCCCCAGGCTGCCCTGGGCATGACTGACATTCAGGGAGTCCCCACCACTGTGGCTGACGTCTGTCTGGAGAGCTGAGGCCCCTGCTGTATCACCTGTGACAGTGTGACGGTCCGCCCCTCTGAGACCTCACTGCCTACCGTGGGGCACAGGACTTACCACCCACAAGATGACGTTGAGGAACAGCACAGTGGGGATTCCCCCAAAGGGCTGCCCCTGCAGGACGGTGCTCTGAGAATTGAAGCAGTTGTGTGCTGTCATGTTCTGTGTCTCTTTCACCATATTCAGGTTGCCCTGCACGGCAGCCATCCTGGGACCTTCCTGGTGACAGAGGGGTGCTCAGGTCAGACACAAGGAATCCCTCTCACTCTGCAAATGCAGAAGGCTGACGGGGAGTTGGGGGGGAGGTAGGTGCACTGAGTACCCATCAGACCCAGTGTCCATTGCCAGCCTGTAGCAGGTCAAGGCAGGGAGGCTCAGCCCTGAAAGGGCATAGAGCCCTACCCGGGAGGAGCACAGCTGCCTTAAACCCAGGGCCGTGATGGCAGAAGAGCCCAGGTCCCAGATCCCCTGGAAGAGATTTTACTTTGTACCACTCGCTCCCTTTACCAAGAGTTGTGAGATGCACATCCAAATGGATCTTCCTATTTCTACCTTTGTGAAACTTTTCTTGTATATAAATGAACAAACTTCACACAGGTGGGTAGGACCCCAGAGTGTAAATATTCAGTTTGGAGAACAGAACTGCATTCATGGGAAGCCTGTGCAGATAGGGTCTAACATCTTATGATTCTCTGATCCAGTTTCCAGGAAAGGAAGTTTCCTAAAACTAAATGAGGTAAAGCTATAGAGTGCCCTGAACATAGCAGTGACTCAGTAAACGTCACTGTCTTCAGGTCGAACTTGAACCAGGGAGATCAGCACCTGCCCAGAGCCTGAGCATTTTGGTGAGACTCAAACGTAGGGCTCATGGTCATGGGCATCAATAGGTCTCCAGACTCAGAAAAGAGCGGGAAGCACAGATGAAAACTGGAAGTGACTGGTAGCTGCTTAAATTTATCTGCAAAGTGTTCTGGTTTTAAAAGATCATTCAGGGGCACCTGGCTGGTTCAGTAGCTAGAGCATGTGACTCTTAATCTCAGGGTTGTGAGTTCAAGCCCCATGTTGGGCATGGAGCCTATTAAAAAAAAAAGAATAGCTAAGATTTCAGGGCGCCTGGGTGGCTCAGTTGGTTGGGCGTCCAACTCTTTTTGTTTTTAATTTTTTCTTAATGTTTATTTATTTTTGAAAGAGAGAGAGAACATGTGCAAGCTGGAAGGGCAGAAAGAGGAGGGGACAGAGGATCTGAAATGGGCTCCGTGTTGACCACAGAGAGCCTGATGTGGGCTCGAACCTTGAGATCATGACCTGAGTCGAGGTCAGATGCTCAACTGACTGAGCCACCGAGGCGCCCTGGGCATCCAACCCTTGTTTTCAGCTCAGATCATAATCTCACGGTTCATGAGATAGGGTCCTGCGTTGGCCTCTATGCTGACAGCATGGAGCCTGCTTGGGATTCTCTTTCTTTCCCTCTCTCTCTACCCCTCCCCCATTCAAGCTCTCTCTCTCTCAAAATAACTAAACATTACAAAAAAAAAAAAATCATTCATTTTGTCTCCAGACCTTGTCTCATCCTAGAAACTCTTCACTCCCATTCAAGAAAAGTAGGCTCATTCATCATTCATTCATTCATTCATTCAACAAGTATTTAGTGAACAACTGCCTTGTGCCAGACTAATGCTGGTGGTGCAATAGTGAATAGGCAAAACAAAACAAAAAAACCCTCTTTCATTGGATCCCAGTGGGGAGAGGCAGTGCAGGGGTGACAGTGGGTCAGAAGGGTAAAGAGGGTGACTGGGAAGACCTCACTGGGAGGATGACATTTGGACAAAGACTTGCAGAGGGAGCAAGGCAGGCACAGCAGAAGGCCTGGGGGCACAAGCTTGCCTGGAGCCTCCAAGAAGAGCAAACAGGCCCATGTGGCTGGACAGGGGAGAGTGAAGGGGGTGAAGCTTGGACAGGGGAGAGTGAGGGGGGTGAAGCTTGAGCCAAGGAGTAACGTGAAATGACTTATGTATTAAAGGCATCACTCTGACCCTTGGTTTGAGAATAAATGGGAGAGGGGCAAGCTGAGAAGTAAACACAGAGAGGTCAGTTAGGAGGAAATTACAGCAATCCAGGCAAGAGGTAACAAGCCTGGGATGGAAGGGGAGGAGGCGGTGAGAAGCAGTCAGATTTTGGAAGTATTCTGAAGGTGAAGCCAGCATGTGCTGATACAATGGGTGGTGGGGGGCGGGGTGTAAAAGAGAGGAGTCCAGGGTGACCCTGAGGTTTTGGGGCCGAAGAGAAGAAGTGCCTTTATTGGGTGGGACAGACCAGGAGTGGGGGGAGGGGTCAGGAGCCGGGTGCTGGACATGCTAAGGGGAGATGCCAGGCGGGTGGCTGGACAGGTGAGCCCGCAGCTCAGAGGAGAGTCAGGAGACATAACTGTGAGAGTCACCAGCAGACAGGTGACTGTTGGAGGCATAGGACTGGGTCACCGAAGGCGTGAGCTCAGAGTGAGGCTCAAGGTCTGAGTCTGTGCAGGGTGAGGCCCCAACACGGGGAGGTGAGGCAGATGAGGAGGAAACGAGAAAGGGACTAGAAGAGGGGCCAGAGAGGAAGGAGGAATAGCAGGAGTGGGTGGCATCCTGGAAGCTAAATAAAATGTTTCTAGAAGGGAGGGATCGGCTGCACTGATGCGGCCAAGTAAGATGACAACTGAGAACCAGCCATAGTTGAAGCAACGTGGAGGTTTAGTTGGTGGCCAGACTGGAACAGGCGCGAGAGAGAATGGTGGCCGGAGAATTGGAGCCAGTGGGCATGAACGATTCCTTTGAACGGGAATGAGAGTTTGGAGGTGGTTAGGACGGGAGAGGCAGCAGCACAAGAAAAGTAGGCTCATTCGTTATTCATTCATTCATTCATTCATTCAACAAGTATTTAGTGAACAACTGCCTTGTGCCAGACTAATGCTGGTGACGCAAGAGTGAATAGGCAAAACAAAACAAAACAAAACAAAAACCCGTGCAGCAGCACGGAATGCTGGTGGGAACGGGCCGGTGGGAACTTAAAGGCTGGCGATACGGGGGAGACAGGGCATTGCCGACGCAATGAGAGGATGTGGGAAGGGCCGGCAACCGGTGCACAAGTGCAGACGTTGGTCTTGGCTGAGAGCTGGGTACTGACCCACGGCAGCAGGAGGGAGGCAGGCGCACAGGTGGAGCTCGCGGGTGCGCCCGCCCAAGGCTTCTATTTTCTCAGATGCAGGGGGAACAAGTCTCAAGGTTGCTGAGCGACGCAGGTGGTGGGCAGATGTGGGATGTTTGAGGACAGGACGCAAGGCAGAAATAGAAGTCTAGAGAAGTGGTGGAGTGAATGCATTATGAGAACATGGTGGGACTGTCGCGCAGCACTAAGGGGCCACTGAGGTTCACGGTCTTGAATCTGCAGCAAGAGTAGCCAGACTCACTGGGCCCCTCCCCCAGCTGTGCTCATCGGTGCGGATGCAGGTGAGCCGCTGTGGAAGAGGCAGACAGCTCGACCTAACCAGGGCAGACGTTTTCCCAAGTAAGTAGGAGAATGAGAGGGCTGGAGTTGTACATGAGGGAGTCGTTTTAATGACTGGCCAGGTACGGACAGAAAGGACACGCGAGATGGGCGAGGGACAGTGACAGGTGCTGGGGGTCCACGGAGGTAGAACTGTCGGGTACCACAGTCTGTGAGCCGACACGTAGGACGTGGCTGTTGGAAAATGAGCTGTGTGGCACTGAGATTAAGAAGGGATCGGTTATGGGTAGAGAGAAGGTCTAGGGCATGAAAATAGAGTCAGTAACTGAGTCGTGTCAAGGAACTGGGAGGCTGGAATGTCCTTTATGGACAGGTGGATCTTGAAATCGGTAAGAATGAAGACGGGAACAGCACTGACGTGACGGTGAGGCAAGAACTGAACTCTTCTGGGAAGGAGGGGAGTGATCTGGTGGGGGGGGAGTCAGCGCCTGTACCAAAGACGGGGAGCGAGATGTCTAGGCTGACACCTTGGGTCCAAGATGGGGGCTTCAGCAGGAAGGAAGGAAGAAGAGTCTGGAAGATGCACAGAGGAGCAAGGAATACATCTCTCTTGTCCCCAGGCCTGAGAGGGTGGTAAGGGAGGCCCCGTCCTGCGAGTCTAAGGTTTCAGTTCCCAGTGGGCAGGCGAGGTGCTGCAGGAGCTGGGGGTGTTTCCGGGCATCTTGGGCTCTGTGGCACTGAATGCCAGTTCCAACACTTACTAGTCACCTCGAGCAAGCTACTTAAGGTCTCCCTGCCTCATTTACTCATCTACAAAAGGGGAGTGGTGTTAGTAACTAGTACTCACTTTGCAGTGCTATTAAGAGGGGTAAGTGGGGGCATCTGGGTGGCTCAGTCGGTTAAGCGTCTGACTCTTGATTTCAGCTCAGGTCATGATCTCATGCTTTGTGAGGTGGAGCCCCATGTCGGGCTCTGAACTGACAGCATGGGGCTTGCTTGGGGTTCTCCCTCTCATTCTTTCTGCCCCTTCCCCCTCAATAAACAAATAAACATTTTTTTTTAAAAAGATGGATAACTGGGTTAAGATTTGTCAGTCATGGAGAGCAATGCCTGGGACACAGAAGTATCACACAGACACTTGTCAAATGAAAAGTGGGCGCAGAGCTCCAAGGGGCACAGCGGAATGCTGTCTGGAGTGGGGAGGCTTTGGAGATGGGGACAGAGAAGGGAATAAAGGAGAGGGTGGTGTGCAGGACGGGTCCGGGGCTCCCTGTGCTAACTCACAAAAATAGGGAAACACGCGAACTCATCCTTCTACCTGTCAGATCAGCATCCTTCTGTTCCGCTCTCTTTCTGCAGGGGCTGCCCACGGTTTTACTACCCCAGGTCACTGCTTAACTCATTGACACAAGCATGTTTAGCTAAATATAAACTTACAAGGATTTACACTGAACATGGTACCTTTTTTTTTTATAGTTTTTTTTAAATGTTTACTTATTTATTTTGAAAGAGAGAGAGCGCACGGGCTAAGAAGCAGAGAGAGAGAGAGAGAGAGAGAGGAAGAGAAAGAATCCCAAGTAGGCTCCACACTGTCAGTGCACAGCCCTGACACGGGGCTCGATCCCACGAAGCGTGAGATCATGACCTGAGCCAAAACCAAGAGTTGGAGGCTTAACCCACTGAGCTCCTGGGCGCCCCTGAACGCGCTACCGTTTAACAGC